ATATATCTATATATATATATATATATATATATATATACTGTATATATATATACTGTATATAGGTTTTATTTATTTATTTTATTTAATATTTATATTATTTATTTTTTGTTAATTGAAATGCAACCATGTAGTGTGTGTGACAAGATGTGTATTAACAAATAACACCAAACTGCATTTGGTTTTGGGAATTTCAGTTATAAATTACCATGACAACTAACATCATCTTAATGTATTAATGTCCAGTTAGATTGTGTTTTTGTCCTTAAACTCTAGATTTGTGTTAACGCTTTTTGGCATTGCTGTTATGTAAAATGCTTTGAAACTGGTGAAATAATGAGGACCACAAAAAATTGTGATTGATTTCTTTTTATATTTTTTACAGAACTGAAGATTTACATCAAAGGGGATACTGCAGGGAGTGGACTCGAAATTTCTCAATAATCTGTCAAAACTGTACAGCATTTCAACAAGCAGCCTCTGGTTACCATGGAAACATTTATCCTGTCTCCAACACTGTCACATCTTAATGGTTGAGAAAAAAAATCACCTAACCGAATGAGGAAGAAAAAAAGTGTTTCATTCCATAAATCAGTGTTTGTTTGTGGTGAGCTCCATCAAGGTTTGTCTTTGTACAAACTCTCCACAGCCGCTTTCTCTCCCAGTGCATGAGATTGAAACGTGTTCTCAGGTTTCATATGTACTGCTATCATATCCAGTGATTTCTGAGTGAGGTAATATGTTTGATTGCGAGTATATTATTAGCTCTTCCTCGTGTGTGTGTGTGTGTGTGTGTTTGTGCACGTGTGATTTACTCAACCATTTTCATCATCCGACAAATGAAAATACACATTTTCTGATGTAGTTCGTTTAGCATTGCTAAAGGGGCTTCAGTGACTACACTGCAGGATAAGGCACGTGACAGTCAGGCTAGATTACGCTGTAATTATTCACATTATAATCCAGTTTCCTCACACTGACTCCTGTGCGTGATCATAAATAAGAGGTTGACGAAAAATGCATTTCCCAGCTCAGTCTCTCTCTGTAAACATGGTTGGGGGAAAACATGAAAATAAATAAAATGCAAATCAGTCTCTTATCAACAGATCCTTCAGTGAAACTTGAGTCCCCAAAATGCAATACTTTAAACAAAGAGTTTCTCTTTCACGTCTTGTTTTGTATAGTCTTTTGAATTGGATTGGCCACATTTGTAAAGTTCCTGGCCTGTAGAAAAATGCCCAGGTAGATCGGTTTACGTATCAGATAGATGTAGTTTGTGAATGACTAGCATGATCAATGATGCTCACGCTTTATTTCTGATTTAGGTGGCTCCACGATTGGGCTTCGGAGGAAGCAGATGAAGGTGACTCGTCCATTTGTTCGAATCTGAGCATCAGAAGAGGCTGGTTAAGGTGCTCTGCGATGGACTACGGCATTCGTGAATGTCCAGGTTGCCCGGGACAGAGGTCAGTACGGAGGTGACGGTGGGCATTGTGGGGTTGGTCAGGTCTGTGAGGGTCGTAGGAGTGCTGGATGGGCTCATGGAGGCATTGGAAATCTCCGAGGCCGGTCCGGACGGCGTTCCTCCAGGCAGGGTCGACCCGTCCGAGGCCTTGTCCACACCCGTGTTCTCCTGGCGCAGGAGGTTTCGTCTGAACTTGGCCCGAGCGTTTTGAAACCAGACCTGCAAACCGAGACGGCAGACGCTAAAAATAATCCCACAGACCAGAAAACCATGCGATGCTCAGGGGACGAACATTAGTCTCATCAAAGCCGAATGACAGCCGATGATAATTAGCGCTTTGAGATTTTATTTTTACTTGAGTATTTCATATTTTTACTCTCCATTTGTCCCCTGGTTGTTTTGCCAAAGCAACTGCGTTTCGTTTTTCTGGTTCCAATGATTTCTGACAAACAGCAGTTTCACTTATTTCTTAGTGTTTTATTTGTGCATGTAATTAATTCAGATTTCTAACTTTCAGGAACAAATTAATAGCGTTCCACTGAGGAGACCAGGCTTGTGAATTACATTTGATTCATTCCTCAAGTAATTTTTTAATCGGTCTAATTTGCTGCTGATGTGAAGGATTGTGCTGTTTTTGACAAAATGTCTTATTTGATACATATATTGCGTTATATTATATTAAGTCCAACTTTGTGTGCATACATACAGTACACTCACTGTAAAGCGATATACGTATATATAGCAAATCTCAACTGCTTGACTTTTTTTTGTCACAAAATTTAACAATATTATCACCCAGCTCTTTATATAAAGTAGAATATATGAGTGTCTCCTACTTTAACAGTGTACACTAGTAAATCTCAACTGCTTGATTGCTTGTATTGTTGCAAAATGTAACTATATTATCACGCAGCTCTAATCTGTTGAATGCAACTAGTTTGGGGGAAAACATGAAAATAAATAAAATGCAAATCAGTCTCTTATCAACAGATCCTTCAGTGAAACTTGAGTCCCCAAAATGCAATACTTTAAACAAAGAGTTTCTCTTTCACGTCTTGTTTTGTATAGTCTTTTGAATTGGATTGGCCACATTTGTAAAGTTCCTGGCCTGTAGAAAAATGCCCAGGTAGATCGGTTTACGTATCAGATAGATGTAGTTTGTGAATGACTAGCATGATCAATGATGCTCACGCTTTATTTCTGATTTAGGTGGCTCCACGATTGGGCTTCGGAGGAAGCAGATGAAGGTGACTCGTCCATTTGTTCGAATCTGAGCATCAGAAGAGGCTGGTTAAGGTGCTCTGCGATGGACTACGGCATTCGTGAATGTCCAGGTTGCCCGGGACAGAGGTCAGTACGGAGGTGACGGTGGGCATTGTGGGGTTGGTCAGGTCTGTGAGGGTCGTAGGAGTGCTGGATGGGCTCATGGAGGCATTGGAAATCTCCGAGGCCGGTCCGGACGGCGTTCCTCCAGGCAGGGTCGACCCGTCCGAGGCCTTGTCCACACCCGTGTTCTCCTGGCGCAGGAGGTTTCGTCTGAACTTGGCCCGAGCGTTTTGAAACCAGACCTGCAAACCGAGACGGCAGACGCTAAAAATAATCCCACAGACCAGAAAACCATGCGATGCTCAGGGGACGAACATTAGTCTCATCAAAGCCGAATGACAGCCGATGATAATTAGCGCTTTGAGATTTTATTTTTACTTGAGTATTTCATATTTTTACTCTCCATTTGTCCCCTGGTTGTTTTGCCAAAGCAACTGCGTTTCGTTTTTCTGGTTCCAATGATTTCTGACAAACAGCAGTTTCACTTATTTCTTAGTGTTTTATTTGTGCATGTAATTAATTCAGATTTCTAACTTTCAGGAACAAATTAATAGCGTTCCACTGAGGAGACCAGGCTTGTGAATTACATTTGATTCATTCCTCAAGTAATTTTTTAATCGGTCTAATTTGCTGCTGATGTGAAGGATTGTGCTGTTTTTGACAAAATGTCTTATTTGATACATATATTGCGTTATATTATATTAAGTCCAACTTTGTGTGCATACATACAGTACACTCACTGTAAAGCGATATACGTATATATAGCAAATCTCAACTGCTTGACTTTTTTTTGTCACAAAATTTAACAATATTATCACCCAGCTCTTTATATAAAGTAGAATATATGAGTGTCTCCTACTTTAACAGTGTACACTAGTAAATCTCAACTGCTTGATTGCTTGTATTGTTGCAAAATGTAACTATATTATCACGCAGCTCTAATCTGTTGAATGCAACTAGTGCATGAAGATATTAAGATATTATAAACATTAACATCATGATTTTCTGCAAATCTGCTTTGAAACAGTGTGTATTGTAAAAAGTGCTATTCAAACAAATTTGACTTGGCTAATATAAAAACTAAAGGATTGCATGGTCAGTGTGCTAACATCTCAAAGCTGAAATAACACTGAGCCAAAACAATTAGTCCAGCTGGAGGGAGTTTTCTGACCTGTAGTACGCGCTTGGTGAGACCTGTTTTCTGGGCCAGCTGTTTCAGATCCTTGGCATCAGGATTGTGGTTGATGGCAAAATACGACTTCATGGTCCTCAGCTGATGGTGTTTAAATGACGTTCTCATGCGCTTGGACTTCTGGCTGGAGCTGTACTGCGAGTCTCTGTCCATCGGATCACCGTCGTTCTCATTGCAGCTCAATGCTGAATCAAAAAATGCAAAATAGATTTGCTGTGTTGCTGTTATCGACGCCAAAGTGAGGTTTTCTATAGTGCATCCATATCAAAAGCTTAAAACTACACATGCAAATTACATTTTCCATAATGCTACACTGATATAGTGTAGCAGTGAAGTTCTGGTTTGAATGAAACTCAATGATAAATACATGAGATGCAATGACATAACGATCAGACGCTGTGATGAGAATGATGAGGTGCCTCTCAGATTCCTTTGTTTCTTTGATTGCACTCCAACATTGTGTTTAGTCTTGGATTTGACTACATCAAGGAGCCACAGCACCATCATGTTGCTGTGTTTGCAACTCACTGCATGCATAATAATATGCATTACGCTGTAGTCTTACATCATGCTCTTTTAGTCTTTTTTTAAACCAAACAAAATTTGATTCTAAATGCAATAGACATGTTTTGAAAGCATGCAAGTCTGCATCGTGATTTTTATTTGACTTTTCAAATCCTAAAACATGGTGGGTTTACTCATTTTTACTGCGGCCCCACCCCTTACATATGGCCATATCTTTGTTTCTGTTTTTATGGTGTCTTGAGTAGGATTTGATTGTGAAAAGCCCACACTATCTGTCTTGAACACAAGTGTTTAGGAGATAGGCCTGTCTGAATGTGTCAGAAATATGTTTGCGCCAGTTCCAAATTCTTGGCAGAAGTGTATGTGTTGCTAGACGCATGACAGTTCAGAATTATGTTTGCTCTGACAACTACAAATATTAGTCATTGAAAATGGTCTGATCAACACTTCAGATAATTAACCTTGAATGCTTTACAACGCTGCACATGGCGAGCAAATGTTTCCTCCTGATATAAATATGGCCATTGAGAAATACTGTTATCTTTACTACAGTGATGCACGTCAAGAGCAGTTATCTTCACTGAACACAGACTTATTTACATGTAAGTGACAACTGGAGTATTGCAATGATGAACTGTGTCTTTATTGTTCTTTTTTCAGGTTTTGATCTCGCTGTGCTTGTGTTCTGCTGTTGTTTAAAGTGTGAGCTGATGGGGGCAGCAATGATCTGACTGTGTCTGACTCTCAGAGAGCAGAGAAACACCAAAGTTCACTCTCTCTATAGTTAACTCGTGTTTTTGTCAAACGGTTGATCTGATTTCAAAACGTTTCTTTTTTTCCATTTTAAGTCCATGTAAGTATAACAATTCTTCAGAAGCTGGTTAGTCCACCAAACAAGACCGCAATTGTTGTGATAAATTTGCCAACTTCATTTAACGATTCCAAAGCAACCAAACAATCTGAGTTTAAAGTGATAAAAAAGCATCGCATTTACACATTTTACAGTGGACATATACCTTGGAGATATAATAAAAACTCGCGATGAACTTGTATTTTATATAAGTTATAGTCTTAATCTTACTCAAGCGATTTCAATATGTGCATCCTGTAATAAAAGATTTTTTTTAAATACAAATTATTGATTTATTTCGCTTTATCTCAGTATATCTGACATTAAATCCTGGAACCAAAGAAAATGATGAATATTCGTGAAGAAATGGTTCGTAGATTATGTCGTCTTATTTGATTAAAAAGTTTTCTACCCTATAATTTGGACGCGTGCATAAATCTTTTTATAGGCTGGAGCAAAAAGCATAGTAAATTAATTCGTCTGAATTTGCCTAGAAAAGCTGAAGATTTTCCCTTTCTTTCTTTCTTCCTTTCTTTCTTTCTTTCTTCCTTTCTTCCTTCCTTCCTTCCTTCCTTCCTTCCTTCCTTTCTTTCTTTCTTTCTTTCATTCTTTCTTTCACTTGTATTTAATCTTCCGGAGGTCTCGACTAGCATCTAAGCCATTTTCCACTTGTCAGTCTCTGTAGTCGTCATCATTCCTCTGTTTGGTCCTCAAGCAGGGGCCCTAATGCCCCGCTGAGGGGCCCGAAATGCCCGAGCGAACAAGTCACGTTGTTCCAAATTGTTCAAGTGCTTTAGTAGAAATCTGTGATGTGTATCCATTGTCTTAAAAAAAAATCTTGTCTTTTACCTAGTAAAGAAGTGAACGTATTTTTTTTATCTTTGTTTGTTAAAAATAAACATTTTTAACAAATTTGTAAATACGAAATGAAATATTTAATACAGTATTATGATATAGTAAAGGATAGCGCTCTTTTGCAAAACTTTCAACACATATAGGCTATGCTTTATGAACTTTATAGTATATCTTGTCTCAATCGAATTGTAATGCAAAAGTATTTTGAATGTAAAAGTTTTTTTAATTAGAAATATTATTCAAACTAAATATATTTTTTAGCAAGGACTGCATTCAAAATGCTTTTTAAATGTTCCCCGCATTTTTACAGATTTATGTTCCCTTTTATCATAATAGAAAACAGTGTAGCCTATTTATTGCATGTGTACTTTAATTAAAAAGCAATCATGCTTATAAAAGTCGTACTTTATTGTTCAAATAGTGGCAGCTAACAGTATTGTTTAAGCGAAATTTCACTTAAGGTTTTTGTAAATTCATCAGATTTGTTTTTATCTTGCTCTGAAACGACTCTGAAACGATTTCGTTGTGTATTTCGCCCAAAAAGTTTCGTAAAACTGGAAATTCACCGAAATCGCAGGGAGCTACTAGGCTAAGCGCTCTCAAAATCTTGTTCAGATAGGAAATATGCGTGCAACTCGTTCAAAAAAATTCAAATGAATGACAAATAAAGTTTATAAAAGAATAAAACGAGCAGTTAACCAGCAACAACAAAAAAGTTTAGTGACGTCTCACCTGCATTATAAGCCGCCAAGTCCGCTCCGGGCCCAGGGCTCTTCCTTTTTCGGGGCCGGCCCTTTTGCATCGTGTTCACGCCATTATAATAAGACAGTCCTAGAGGGCCCGTGCTGCCCAGTCCTTTATTAGGCGCTACATCCGTGTGATTGAAATGCGTGGGGAAGTCTCCCTGGATGAGCGTTTCAAAGTGCAGCCTGCAGTACACCAGACTGTCTTTCATGCCGAAGTGGTCCCCAGTCGTCAGCATTTTGTTGCAAGTCGTGCAGGTGAAACAGTTCAAGTGGTACACCAAATCCCTGGCCCTCATGACCATTTCCGAAGCCGAGATCCCGAGGTGGCACCGGGCACATCTCTGCACCGAAAACCTTCTGCGGGACAATAGAGCAGCTGTGACCTTTCAGCACACTTCAGCCAGAAGGTGGGCCCACCACTCATGAGCCTGACATTAAATGTGCTGCTTCTAATAATCTTTGGATAAACTATAATTTGCGATTCTACATGTATATATATATACATGTATATACATGTATATACATATACATGTATATACATGTACATGTATATATATATACATACATTTGCTTCTGCATGTCTATATATATATATATATAGACATGCAGAAGCAAAACAATCCCTTAAACAGCAGGATGCATGAACAAATAGGCTAGTTAACTCGTGCAGTGGAATCTAGTCTCGCCAATAATTACGTCTCGAATAATTACTAAATAGCTTACAATTGAGATTGACGTGTGCTGCAGCCTCAGTTGAACATAGAAACGGGTAAAGCCTTCACTTATATTGTCTTAATAGGCCTCTCGCCTCCCTCTGATTATTAAACTACACAATGACCCACAGAATCAGTGCACAGTCAGCTAAATATCATGCAAACATCACAGAGTAAGGCGTTTTTCTATAGGTTTTGTTGCTTTCTTTTCTTCCCAATACAAATGCTGTAATTCATGCACAGTAAGATTAAGTAGATAAATCGTTTCTGGATTATTTCGTTTTATAATGACGTCCAAAATCACCTCACACTGCAAAATATATATATAGAGACGACTTCGGCATGTTGCTGCATATTTTGCTTGTTTAACTGTTACGAAAACAGAGTAAAATCGTTGAGCAGGTTTAGTAGTTAGTATTTATTAAACTGTATCATATCTAGACAGAAAAAAAATGTCACTTTGCTAGAGAATGTTTCGTTAATTTAAACAGAAACGTTTAATTTCAGGCAAAAATTATGCCTTGAATAACTTCAATAGTTTCTAAATTAATTTAAGTATTATTAGTCTGATTATTAAAATGTACAACGACGTTTTCACAGGTATCAACAGAAAAAACTATCTTTTTAATGCACGCAGTGAAATTTAGATACGCCTTTTCTGGATTATTAAAGTGCACAATGACGAAACCACATCAAATACAATCAACAGACAAAAAGCAGGCTTTCGCGACAGGTTTGCCTTTTTATTAGGCTACTTATCCACAAACGAAAACCTCACTCCATACAAAGGAAACGCCGTAAGATCGTGCAACTTTTGAGTAAAGGTGTTTGCTCACCTGTAATAGTCTTCTTTGCAGTAGATGCTTCCGTCTTTGCTGAAGCAGGTGAGTTCAGACTCCAGGTTGAGTTTACACTCGCAGCACTTCAGACAGCGCATGTGCCACTGCTTGTCCACGGCGAGCAGGTAATAGCGGTCAGAGATCTTCCCTCCGCAGCCCGCGCACAGAGCCACCCGCTCCCCGCTGATCGAAGGCATGCTCTGCACAAACACAGGCGAACAGCGCGCTCATTAAAGGCAGGAGCTCAAATCCCAGTTTCATTGAAACACTCTTTTTCTTCACCATTATCTCCAGTGTTATACAAATGAATATTTCTAATGGCAGATTAGCAAAAGATAAAATAGCCTACATACCGCGTATTTAAAGAGTCTGGGTTCAGGAATGAGTGAAAATTCTATTTTAGGCATTTTCTGATTAAAAATGTCCAAAGAATGAGGTATTACTAGTGTTCACTTCTGTAGAGAATGGGAGGGCCGTGAGATTCAGAAGATAAATACAGAAGTGAGTATACTATGATTTGTATTTAATATTTCCCGTGACAACGGACTGCATGCATAAAAAGGAAATAACGGCAAGAAAAGATTAAATCATGCATGCATCCATTCACGTCGTTTTTTGTTTAACAAAGGCACAAATTTGGAAAATGTGATGCATATGTAAGCAAATTAATCAAAGACTTGTGTTGGCGTTCGGCGTGTTGTGTGGCCTTAGATACACCACACAGCAAACACACTCGTAATATATGTAGGCTCTATACACACACTCAATTGTGTAATAAAAAATATTGTTTTAATCTTTATTATTTCTTTATTGTAATTTTGGATTTGCCATCGTATAAGTTTTGAGATGCAGTGTTAAAAATGTCCAAACAGTTTTAAGCGTCGTAAGTGTAGGCTATTTTTGATTAAAGTAATATTTTAATGGCAAAGGAATCAATGTAAAGGTTCAGCATTGTCTTTTTTGTTGTTAATCAGATATTACGGCCCAAAACAATGTCAATTTATTTAGAATATTTGCTAATGTTTTTATCATAATTATATCACTCGTATATTATGAAAAAAGAAAATGAATTATTTTCGCGTCACTTGAAGTTCAGCAGCACTGCATAAGCATTTGTAAAAGAATTAGAATTTATTTTAAGTATATCAGTATTTGTACAAAAACAAATATGGATTTTTCTTGCTCGCTAATTCCTTTTTATTTCATCATTTTCATCGAATAACCACACTTTTGCAGTCGAAATTAAATTGGACTACAGGTCATTTAAAATTGATACCGTATCTCGTAGCTTTCTGTAACTATTTGCAATCCACCCGTGACAAAAGATTTACACGCAATGCATTGAAGACGAGGCCTGTGATTTTGGCTTTGCATAAGTTTGAAGTTTGTTTAAATGGACAAGATCGGAATCACATCTTTGGGCCTCTATTGCACTGTACTGTACATTTCTTTTTCTATAGATAACTTGCATGCGTTTGAAAGCTTAAATAATTCGTTTTAGTGCACATCGGCCTATATATGAGCGACGTGCAGAGATTTAAACTTTCGCGAATTGGTCATTTCAAGTGAGAAGGAATCTCTCCGATTTGGGACTTGATTTCATTCATTCCAATTAAGCCTGGTTTTTAATATGGAACTGTAAGTCTATGTCTTATGCCATGAATTGCTTAATGTGAAAATAATAATATGCCTTCTTTTTTTTACCATTGGCTCAAACCTATTGGTTTTGGGGTTGATCTGCTTTACCAGACAAACCGCCTCGGTGTTATAGAGCACCGGCCCCGGACAGATCCCCGTGACTGCTTTAAACAAAAGGATCCAGAAGAACGGAATACTCTCTTCCCTACTTGACAGCATTGAATGTACAACTCAGAGTATCTGAGAAGTCCAATTAACGTCAGTGTCACAGTCACAATTCGGCTGTTTCATCACTCTAACCTGCTTTTTGCACTTCTATATTGTATTGTTACCAAACGTTGGGAAGATGCAATACTAATAATCTCTTTTATGTGCGTGGTTTATCTCACATTAATATTTTTCACATTTATAAGTGTAATATTTTCTTAATTTTTTATGTCATTCTGTGAGCATTATATTTCCCCCAAACTCCCAAAGCTTTCATTGATATTTTGTTATTATTATTATTTTCTTTATTTAAAACATCTCAATGAGGTGAGTGTTTGGAAAGCTAAGATCATCCATTATTAATGGGCCGTCCTCTTTTGTACCTCATATGGACTGCTGTGAGCCACTGGTTCCAAATCCCAAAAGGCCATATATTTGTTTCACTTATACAGTCCATCCAGTATAATAGGTGATGATTCTAACAGCGCAAAGAGAGACACTTCTCTGATGTCCACGCAGTGAATAAAGGGGTGGAAAAAACAGACAGAAGCACAAAATAGATTATATTTAGCATATATTATAGTCAAGTCATTTTTGCGTTGGCGTTTTTAGTTGCTCATTTAGATTTTTTAGGTTTTGTTTTTTACTCTAAGAATTCATAAAGCACTCTTAATTGGCGCTCTGAACTTAATTGGCGAGACAGTATTAATTTCGAGCCCAAGAGAGCTGCGGACCTCAGGAACAAACCAGTGGGAGTCAAATCCATACAGCCCCCACGTGACTCATGTTTGAACAAAATAGGCATGATATAGGTCGACGCAAAAATCAATTGATTTTTGAGTTAACATAGCATTGATGCTCCGCAGAGAATTGAATTTATATCTTTTTAATGCTTTTATATGTTGTATTGTGAAGTCCATATGCTTCACTATAATCACAGCAATGCTTTAACCCAATTAAAAACAGAGTTGTGCAGAATAAGCACTGTAGTAACAAATACTGTTCATTCAATCTTTGTTCGTACAGTATTTGCTTTCGGCTTGCAATTTGCATTATAGCCCATTGAACACGAAGCATGCACAAAATAATAAATTTTGCATTTTGTGCAAAAGTTTTGAAATAATGTACATGGCGCCAAAATAAAAATGCTTAGCCTAAGCAGTGTGTTTACACTAGGTATATTAGGTTTAATATTTACATGTGAAATTTCTGCCAACACTATTGGAATTGTGTTTGGGTTTAATTACAATTCATAAACAATGTTCTTGTTGCTACACCGTGTCAAAACCAAAATCTTTATTTCGAGAAGTTGCGGAAAGAGCTCGTTAGTTGCTCAAAAAATTGTCAAGGGTGCTTGTTTATTCTTCAAAACGCTTCTGCACCCTCCAATAAGACAACCTGAATGTAAGCGTGTTTCCAAGCAGCACAACAGATTAAGGCTGGCATTAACTCTGACACAATATCAGCTTGTGTCTTATAAACAAACACCTGGCTTTTTGACAAGATCATGAGCTTCACATATATTTCTGGGAAGTGTAACCTTAGGGAACTGTGTATTTTAATTCAGTGCTGTGAACGAAGGAACTAATAAACATTCTTTAAAATGGGCCGTTTATTGTATGTGGCTCATAAATTGTTAATGATGTTGATGTAATCGATCGTCATTAGCTATATAATGTACTTGAAGCACAGGTTCAGCTCACTGAATGAAGAGAAGTCACTGCTGGTTTGTCTCAAACATGGACCATTCAAACGCTTTAAGGGGAAAATGAGCTTATATGATGGAATTTAACCCATCGTTTTCTAGCAACTGACCTATCACCGAGTGACATTGTCCAAATTATTCTTGTGAATTCCATTGTTTGTTTGTTTTTGTATCACACAATATAATAAGAAGGAGGGGAGATGGTCAGCAAGACAGACATGCAGGAGAAAACAACTATAGGAAAACACTCACTCAATGAAAAATCATAGAATTCTCCGTTCCAAAAAAGACACACTATCTGAGCTGCCATGAGAGAAACAGGTGCAGCTACTGTTTATGTAGTGACAAATATACCAGTCACGATTTACCACAGTCCTGGCAGTCATTGGGGCCCATTAAGCTGATCTGAACTGTGATGATAGTAGTAGCTATAGTAATAGTAGACAGATTATTAATCAAAGTACCCACGGCATGGAAGGGCAGGCGTTCATATTAAAGTTGTATTGCACAAATATGAAAAGGCATGTTAAGCTCCAAAATCCTTATGCAAATGAAATCCTGTGTAATACCCTTAATTGAATACATGCATATTTATAATGTGCGCTCTCTGTCTAGTATAGGCTACTAATGTTGGCTTATACATTAAACATTTCAGTGCGTGATATCGTGAGGCGTGTGCGAAATATCGTGATTCCGTCAAATCTAAAAACTGCGGTTAAGGACAAAACACATAACCTCTAACACTTAAACTGCATCTACACTTCTGAGCATATATGTAGCTTGCTTACAGACAGTGTGCGAATTATAGGGGATTTCGGAGGATCAGACCCCTTTTAAGGTTTGAATAAGGAAAGGGGGCGTCTTAGTAAAATAAAAAAAAATTTAAAATGCAAACAAATAGGCTATTTGTATGTTTCAATAGGTTTTTTTAACGTTTCATTAACGCTACAAGTACGACTACAAGTTAGTCAGAGCGCATAGCGATTTTCACCTGTCGCGAAATTCGCTAGAGGTTGCGTTTTCGCTAAAGGGAGGTAATCATAGCAACAGTAGGCTACACTGCGCACGCGCTTTCCAATAGGATCAATTTGCGTAAGCATGACTTTATTTGTAGAATTAGATTTACATAATAAAGATAATAATAGTTTTAGTAAGTATTTTAGAAAAAAAAACGTTTGTGTTTTGTTTATAAATAATTGACATTTAGCTAGTTAGTTACACGCCAAATTACAATTTGCATTGCGTGAGACGACATTATGCCCTGAAAACTACCTTTACAGTTAATACATTTAATAATTTTAAATTCCCTTTAAAAAGTCGACCATTTGAAAGTCACAGTAGCCTGTAACTCGTACACTTTTTATAGCCTAGGCTATTTCCTCTTTTACACAATTATTTATCAGTTTAGTTCACTGTGGTTTCCATGCCACCCTGTTTGGTTTGTCAAACAGCGTCTCTGATTTCATAAACGTCTGCTTCATATTCCTCAGTGCTGTTTCAGTCAGATCTAATAACTGGAGCTCGGTGTTTAATATGGTTTGTACTCAAACACCAGGGAAAGCGAGCGCGTTTTGTCTGCCGCCTTTGTATCTCTCCCCGTGATAATTCTATCTAGCTCTGATCAAACCACTGATATTTCTGTGCTGAGATTTGGGGCTTTCACTACGAACGAATAGAGCAACACTGACCCAGTCCCGGTGAACGGATCGTTAATCAT